CGTGAGAAAAAGAGGGCGAGGGAATCATCGAAGAAAAAATGATGAGGGACGGGCGGAAGAGCGTGGGGAGTGTGGGTGGGAGGGCAGGAGGGAGGGCGGGAAGGAGGGAGGGCTTGCGTCGGACGGCAATGGTTGGGGGACGAGTAACGGAGACGGGAGTAGGGAGGAGGACAAAAGACTGGACAAGAAGCAGGGAGAGGACTCGGTGGGAGTGGACGACGATGCCGAGTGAGCATCTGGCATGTCCAGAGAGGATGGATGAGGGAGGTCGTGCTGTTCTAAGGAAGGACGTAAGAGGGAAGAAAATTGGTAATATGGTGCTGGTGGTGAGATGATGATGGTGACAATAATTTGTATTGCTCCATTTTTATGATTAAAATGGCGTGGACTGCGACGTATCCGAGACTGATTGTTGTGCGCGATGGATGTTGTGATATTTTGAAGGGTACTGACGCCTTTCTGAGGGCCCTTCTCGAATGTATCGGTTTGAAAAGTAACCAAGAGAGGGTGCGTGGACCAGGCACTTGAAGCGAGAAGGAAAAAAGGGGAGGGCTGGATGGACGCGGAAGAGCCCCCGAAAGAAAATCCATAGCGAGTAAAAGCAAGTCGTGTCAACATACAATAAAGCCATACATGTGCAGAAGGACGATAGGGACCAGTACGTCTCCAATCCAGCCCCTGACTTGTAAAGTCAAGCCACACTGCCACTCAAAGTCTAAATTGAAGCAACCGTATCAACAGGATTGGCTCGCGTTGCGACGTTTGGAATCACGACAGTGTGCCTTTGGTTTTATATTTTTCTTTACTTTTTTGAACTCCACATCACGGCTAGGATAAAACATCTCTGTCTGTACAGAATCTTTTCTTCCACCCCTCCGTCCTGCCTGCCCTACCAGTCATCCTCCTCCTCCCTCTTTCTCCCTTCTACCACCTCTTCCATCAAGAAAGTGAAAGCCGCGTTCACCTTCTTGAACTCCTGGCTGCTTTTGGCGCGTTCTTCAGGGGATACTCTACCGGATCGGGGATGGAGTTGGAAAAAGGGAAGGGAGGGGGCGGGGTTCAGACATCCACAGACAGGACTTGAGGACGGAAATGCGAGCAACAAAATCAAACTGCATAAAGCCACGCAATATCTTCGACCAAATTGCAGTCGTTTCCTTTCCCGCTCTCATTCCCCCCCTTCCCTAAAACCCGCCCTCCCTCCGCACCTATCGGGATGGCATGCCAGGGCCTTCCTGCGGAAAGCCTCTTTCACCGTCTCCTCCTTCAACTCCTCCAAAGGGTTGCTTGAGAGCTCCAGCGTCTTCAGGGCTTCAACCCGCTGTTGGGAGAAAGTGGAAGGTGGGGGTGGGCGCTGGATGGCGAGTATATGTGAATCGGGAGGTCAGGAATGAGAGAATGATTGACAAGAGAGGGCAGTGCGGCAGGACCCCCTCTCACTCCCTCCCCCGAGCCCTCAATCCTCACCCGTGCCCCTGCTCGCCGTCGGAACCCCTTACGGCCCTCTTCTCCGAATTGAGCCCCGAAGAAATCCTCGGCAGAAAAGCCTTGCCACCTGATGAGGCAGGAAGGGAAAAGAGGAGGAGAGGGGTCAGGAAGAAAAGAACGGGACAAGGAGAAGAGGACGAGTATCAAATTAAAAGGGAAGATAGGGAGGGAGGGAGGCAGAGAGGAAGAGAGAAAGGGAGGGAGGGAGGGAGTCTCATACGTCTGCTCGTCCACTTTTTCGTGGTAGAAACGGTGAAGCTTCTCCCTCAACGCCTCTCGTTCTCGTTCCTCCACCCTGCCCGGGGGAAATAGCCAGAGAGATGGGGACAAGACGAGGAAAGAGGTAAGAGAGAAGGGATGTGGGGGACATGACAAGATTAAGAGGGGCGGACGGAGCAGTTGGGAGAGGGGAGGATGAATGTAGGGTACAACTGCTTCGACTGCCTTCTTCCTATCCGCACCAAAACAGGGGACGACAAAGACTTTCCATCCATTCCTCCTTCCTCCCGTCTCCCGTCGACTTCCCCCCTGCCCTTACATCCATGCGTAGATCCTTTCTGCCTGTTGCCTTTCCTCCTCGGCTGCGGCGGAGAAGTATGATTCCCATCGCGCCCGTTTAAACGCCGGGTCCCAGTACTCTGAGGAGGGTCCGAGGGAAAGGGGACAACGGGGGGGGGAACGAGAGGGAGAGAGGGAGGGAGGGGAGGGAATAGGAATAGGAGAAATAGTAAGCGCCAGGAGGAGACCCATTGCTGTCGTGTGACGCCGCAACACTGCTCTGAACCGACTCATTTAGGCAGCAGATACAAGCAATACGGTCTGCAAAACCTGTCCTCTTCCATTCTCTGCGCGCCGCGCTCTGCGGAAAATGTCCGACATTGACCGGACGAGCTAGGAGTTGACCTACAGGAGGATCGTCGATGAGGAGACCTACCTTTGTACATTTCCCTTTTCACAAAACTACTGTGCTTGTTCTCCGTAGGTACCGCCCAGCTCATGACTCGCCTCCCGTATCGGCGGGCCACCAAGACATTGCCAGCCACTGCGAGTACGACGCTCCCGAACACCAGCATGCCGCTGAGAGAAAGACCAGGAGGGGGGGAGAAAGGAGGGTGAAGAACACGATGAAGGGGTCAAGTAAAAAACACATCGCGACCAGAATAAAGCTACGGCATACAGCATGCTTGGAGTCATGCGCCTTCGAGGTTTTACTTGCCTCCGAGTGGACATGACGTGGCTTGCGCCCTCTGGTGGAGGGGGCTGATGCTCATAAGTTTCTCTATCAGGCAAGGAAGGGAAAGGAGGCGGAGGTGCCTTTACACTCCCCTCCATGCCTGTCAAAAAGAGTCAAGGATAACGTGGGGACGGGTCAAAATGTTGGAAGTCGGAAAGTAGGGGAGAGGGATGGTTATGACTCCATAGGAGCGGGGAGGTTAACGCTGTCTCAGGTCAACGTTGGAAGGAACTGCAACAATAGGCGGGGAACAACAAGTTCTTTCAAATCCATGTTATGCTCATCTTAGTAAGATATCTATCGTGAAGGTGAAGGAGGAGAAGAGAGAAACAATCGGTGTATGGGGTACTTTTCGAGGGCAGATTGGTTCTCATCGTGGGGAGGATCAGCAGTCTTATTAGCGAGTATTTTGAAGTCGTTCTGACTGACATCCGAAGGCATACCAACTTATCCAAACACGCTCTCGCACATTGTCATGCTTGCTTCTTTCTACGACAGGTGCTTGATCGGCATCATATCCACGCAAAAGGCATCCAATATGTCAGAATACGTGCCACCTCCACCCCTCCCATCGACGTCCTCTGCCACAAACCTCAGTCGTGCCTCCTCACACGCCTGTCGCGACGTCATACGTTTCCTCCGCTCTGCTTGCTCGCTCACCACCGAATATGCAGACACGCTCGCGTTATATTTAAAGGGCCGAGACCCATCTGACCCCGAACTTTTGACTCTACGGACCCTGCAAAACCGCCTCTCCCTCATCCTCCCCCCCCTCCCCCTGCCCTCAGCCCCTCACGAAACTGGAGACGAGATGGCCCGGCCTCCCATCGATCGCGTCCTGGGTGACGCCGATCTCCTTCAATTAATTTTCGCCCGGTTCGTGGACGGTAAATCCGCTGGGCTGACGTCCCGAAAATCGCTTGGGGTCTTAGGCTTGGTGTGCCGGTCGTGGCAGGCGGTGGCCTGGAGGGACGCGCTGTGGGAAGAAATCTGTCGGGAGACGCTCCCTTTGCTGGAGGTGGAGGAGGGAGGCGGACCGGAGGGCGGCAAACACATGCCGCAATGGTCTCGGCGGGAAATGATGAGGAAGCACGGGATGGCGCTGGCGGGGCCGGGGAGGCGGCTGCTCTCTGGACAGTGGGTGGACGAGGTTTTCGTGTGTTTCGAGATATTCGAGAAGGAGAGCGGGAGGAGGCTGTACGTGGGCTTGGGCGCGATAAACTTGTTTCAGCGAGAGGACCCGGAGGACCCGGTGAGGGCGGGGGGGAGGGCGGGGGAGAGGGCGGGAGGGAGGGAAGGGAAAGAAGGAAGGGGCAATGTCGTGCTTTTCCCTCCCGTAAAGAGGGTGTGAGCTCTTTATTTATCGTTGAGGTTTGAAGCAGCAAATCTCAAGTGTTTTCGCGCGCTCCCTTCCCTCCCTCCCTCCCTTTCTCCCTCCTTCCCTCCCTCCCTCCCTCCTCCCTCCGTTACTCGCCTTTCTGCCGGCCTGCCCTCCTCCCGCTCCCCGCCCTTTTTTGACGGGACAGGAGGGCGACTTACACATCGATCTACACATGTGGAGCACGCACAGTCGGGAGTTGGCGGGGGGAACGTTTTCGGCGGGTATGTACGATACGAGGGAGGGGGGGAGGAAGGGACGGAGGGGGAGGAAGGGAGGGAGGAAGGCTCTGAAGAACATTCGAGACTTCTTCCAGAAGCGGCCTAAGGTGGTAGAGGAAGGGAGCGAGACGGAAGGGGGGAGGGAAGGAGGGGAGGGGCATACCTGGAGCGCTATGATCGTGCAGCAGGAGGACGAGGAAAAGGAGGAGGAGGAGGAGGAGGAAATGGAAGAGGAGGAAGACGACGACGACGACGAGGAAGAGGAGGACGAGGACGAGGAGGAGGAGGAGGAGGAGGAGGAGAGCATGCATCCGGGAATCACGGTCTCCAAGCCAACGCGGCTCCCCGCCCTCGCGGCTCTGAAATGGGTGATACGGGCGAGTGTGCGGTGTGTACGCACGGGCCGCTGGGCCCTGTTGTGGGAAAGCGCGGAGGACACCACTTTCTACACCGAGGAACCGGACGAGAACTGGCGAGCCTCCCTCCCTCAAGGGAGCCTGAGTGAGTGCGGGAGGAGAGGGGCGGGAAGGAAGGGAAGGAGGGGAGGGACAGGGGGGCAGGCTCTCTCCGAGGCGATTTCCTCTTCTTCTCCGGCTGGCACGCTCATTAATCGCTCTAACTCTCTGTCCACTCGTTCTCCCTCCTCCTTTCCCCCCTTCCGCCTTCCCATCCTCCCTCAGGTGTCCTCTCAAGCTGGCATCCTGTCTACACGACTCATGCCTCCCTCCTCAATGTCGAGGCGGGGGTGACTTTTTACGTCAAGCCGAAGGGCGAGGGAGAGGAACGGGAGAGGGAATGGGCGATCGCCACGGTGGAAAAGGAGAGCTGCGAGGATCATACAGTCTCCTTTGTTGGCCTCAGCTTCAAAGCCCCCGACGTGTATTTCTTGGGGCAGTTCGTTCGGAGTTTGTTGGATTGAAAGGGAGGGAGGAAAGGAGGGGGGGAGGGAAAGAAAGCGCCATGAACGCCGTCGTCCTTAAGATGTTTTTTTTCCTTTGCTTTGTATAAATTACTTTTATCGCCGTCGTTCAGTCTTGCCTGCTCGATGCGGCTTTCCCGTGGTTAATGACCGAGGGGTGCCGGTAAGAAAGAAGGGATACTTCCTCCCTCCTTAGGCCAGCCGGTCGACACAGCAGGGTGCGAGAAAGGAACGAGGGAGGGAGGGAGGGAAGGACGGAGGAAGAGAGGGATGGATACGACGTTTAGGCAAAAAGGTTCAAGCGGGCTTCAACCCTCTTTCTTCTCTCGTTGGGGAGCATCCCGGGCCCTTCCACGTCGAATTTGTCTGCTAGAGCC